AATTAATAATTCTTGCTTTGTATCTTTGCTATAGAAAGAATAAGTGAACATAAAACGCTATTTTTCGTGGCAGTCAACGTGTTAATCGGAAGTACGCGATTGTCACTTAACATACGAAATTTTATCACTCAAAGATTTAAATATTAACCCTTTCATCCCGAATGGTACACATAGGTACCACGAACATTTGAAATTGCCTGACAGCTAGAAAACTTCGCTTATGCTGTCGAGTCGTACTCATAATGAAGACTTCACAGTGAACTTAATGAGTATAGATATTATTCAGTTCACATGAATTAAAGTAATGCACGTTTGCTCATGTGAGAATTTGACCCTAGGTATATTTACTCCTACAGAAAATGATGAATCATGAAGTTACTCTTACCAACAAGAAAAATTGCAAAGTAATGGATCAAGACATTTTGTTAATCCTTCTGGCTAATTAATATTTTAATTTTCATGATTAAAACAATTTTAAATCGCAAGCTGGATGGAACGAATTTGATAAAAAGCTTCTACAGCCAATTTAAAGTACTCCGAACGAAAATGTAATTGGCTGTCTGAATACATTAATTTTCCTAATTTTTATTAATTTTATATTAACAAATAGAAATTACAAACATTAAAATTTGTATATAGTAACTATATAAAAGTAATGTCTCGTCTGTTTCTAAGCAACAGCCACTCACACTTGTTTTCATAAACGTCGAATACAAAAAAAGGAAAATTATCTTAACCCTCTATGGGCCGAATTTTGGTTCACGATTATAACAAAATTAATAAATACCCACATATGAATGCGAATTATCAATGTATTCAATAGTTTCAATAATTTCATCGAACGAATATATTCTGTAACTTTCCAGTTACAATGACGTTAAACTTTCACGCCTGAGCGTATAAAAGTTTCAGTTAACTGATTATTTAATTTTACTCGCCGCTTCGAGTGCAAAATGAAATAAATCAACAAGATGCCAATATACTGATATGTAACTTTAAAGTTACATGGGCCTACGGAGGGTTAAACAAAGGAATATCTTCTCTTCGCCTTCTTTCCCAAGTCATCAAACTTTTCAATACTCTTTCTTAAGTCCTTGATTTCCCAATCGCGATAAGCATTCCGCAGGGTTCAACAATTCTAACTTATCCCGGCTGAAGCATGACGATTTTCTGTGTAACAAGGTACTAATTGGACCCGGGTATCGTATCAATTACCCTTTAATTGAACGATTCCGACTTCGATAGACCGTATTAGGCGTTCTCGCCCGGTCGTCAAGGCGATAAATATCGGGCATTGTTAGAATAAATATTCAATTAATGTTTCGTCCGGATAAAAAGCCAGCCCGACTAATTTTAATGGCGAATCCTAATGGCCAACGGCGGCGCGGGAACTCTCCCTCGACGCCGGTGACTCGTTGCGCCAAGTGAAATGCGGCAACGCATCGCCGTAAAAGGAACGAAAAACGAAGCAGAAACTTTCCAGCTAGTGGGAGTGTGTACCGGACTCGCGGCCGTTCGCGACGAATTGGGCGCCGGGATGATAGAAAGGGGGACGAGCGGCCGGTGTAGGAAGTGTTTTAATGCCGGATTAAAGACGGCACATCCGAGCGTAATGATGATGGCGGTAATCCCCCCCGGCGGATCACGGCAAATCCGATTCCGTTTCGTTAAAAACCGTGTGCATGCTCGTTACGTCAGTTTCTAGAGAAAGAAAGCGAGACGATACACTACAGCGCAGCTCTCGCGTCTCGGCCGAGCTCCGACGAGTTTTCAGGGGAGAGAGGCGAGGGGAGACGGCCACTCGCGGCGCTCGGTAGTCATGGCAACAGTGACGCCTTTGTTTCGACGTCGTGTTATTCGAGTCGCGAAATGAAGGACGCAAGTGAAACGGAATTCGGTGAGATGGTACCGTTTGTTGCACGAGAGTTGGCACTTTAGTCTTGTTTGTCAGCTTTTATTTCTTGTCTCGTTTTCAGTACTAATTTGCTACTTGGCGATACGATTATATGTAAGCAATCGAGACTATAATTATCGCGCTGGAATCTTTAAGAAAAAGAGAGATCTTATAGAAAAATTATTTTCCTATAACAAAGGGGAAAAATATGATGCAATATTAATGAAAATTTTGTATTTAGATGTGTCAAACGCACAATTAAGCGAGATTTAAACAGCACAGAAATGAATACGCGATTAATAGCTGTTAATATTTTGAAAAAGAAGCTTCAATTTGTAAAATGGTGAACAGTTTTTAGGATGAATCTGCATTTTCTATTGAAGAGTTTATGTGAGTACAAATAAAAAGGTTATTTAATCTTCATTAAGGATTGTACTTTAATTTTCGTATGGATATTGAAATTTCCTATAAGTATTGTTATAAATATTTCCATAAAGAGTCTACAGGCTAATTATAATATTCTGAACACGTCTACATTATATATGAGTTACGTGTATCACGAGTCGATATCGCTGAAAACGAGTACGCGTAAAAACATACGCAAGGCAGAACAAAAAAGGAAAGAAGGAAATAACATGTATGAGGACGAACTTTCGCGGACAGCCGAAAAGTTTTCTCCTCAAAAACGGAAATACACGTACGTAACCGTACGTCTCATTCGTACGTAAGCATACTGTCTTCTCGCGTTTGTTATGAATCTAGAAAGTTTTCTTGATCTTTACATTTTCTTGTGGAAAAAGCTTTTGCGACAATTCAACGCCAAACGATGAACCTCAAAAATGTAAAGTCCAAACAATTCGCATGAATGAATTCCTTGTATATTTATAACATAATAAAATCTATGATTAATTGAAAATATAATGTTCATATTATACCTAATCAAATCGTAGAGAATTATAAGAATTCAAATAAAATATATTCTCCCTTAAAACTGTTGATCTTTATGTCTTAGATTATAATGTTTTGTGCAAAAAACGATACTTTACAGTTGTAAAATATTTATCGTTGTTATACAACCCGCAAGAAAGTAAAATTTGAAGATTTTTAATATTATTGTATCATGTTTGTCCTTTTGTTATGGAAAAATATTAATTTAAATGTCTTTATAATCGTAACAGATCACGATAACTTTTTTCTTGGTAATTGTCTTTGAACTGTAATAAATAATAACTGAAATAACATGGATAGTAAGGAGGTTTATAAATCTGATTCGTGAAACGCAACACCTGTGCGATTCACGTAATTTATGATGTTTGGAAGGTGATTTTTTTTTACAAATTATTGACGACACACGTGCCGAGATTTCGTCAGATACAATTTAATATTCATATTGTTCAACGTCGTCTGAATCCCCTCGGACCGGAAAAATGTGTTGTCTACCAAAAGGCATTCAAACGGAAATAACACGAAACGTCAACTATATTAGACGTTCATATTTACAAGATACAATTGAGTAATTTGCCAATTAAAAATGGTTTTTCTCCATTCATAAATAGATATTTAAAATATTTAAATATTTGAATATGAATATTTAAAATACTATAATCATAGATATTAAATATTTAAATGTTTAAAGACAAATATATATGTCCATAAATACATAAAATTGAAGAGTATTTAAATATTTCTATTAAAAAGCTGAAATGAGTAAGATTAAAAATTGCTCGAGAAAATCACTTTTTAATTCAAACGTTCGTTTAATATGGCACTTTACTAATTTCAAACCACCTCAAAAAGCACTGAAATTATGTTCATACATGGTATAATTATAATATTACAATTAAATACAACGGAAATTGCGAAAGGTTAGATCATAAACTATTAAAAATCACAAATGACTACCCACTGCTATATTTAGTAGTTGCTCTCAATAATAACGCGGCTAATATTTCCGCGGTACGTGCAGTCATTAATCAAAATGACGCATACTCCATCAAATAAGATTTCCTCTTCGAAATAGAAGATCGAAGGAAACCCGACAGTTCTTTTCGAACCCGAATAAACTTCGAAAAAAAGGATTACTCCCAACTAAGAATTCTTAACTCTTTACGGTCGAAAACTTTTCGAACTTCTAAAAACTGTTTCCGTAAATAGGTCAATTATGCATCGAAGTCTTAAATACTAGGAAAAAGGAAAAGCACATATCAATCTTTTATTATTCGAATAATTAAATTATTCATTTGCAGCTTTCAATTTTAAACATCAAAGCTCTAAGTTATTATTACAGTGAACCAAACGGGTTAACTTCAGTAACGGTAGTGAAGATATTCAGCATGATTCATCAAACATAAATATTACACGATTCATTCGAATTCAAAGTAAATAGTATCCTTCTGTAATCAATTATTATGCTTAAGAGCAAACGTAGACATAGAATATGACTACAATTTGTCCTTTTCCAATAAATTATTAATGACATAGTAGTCGTATCAATCAGAGATGAGGACAAAATCATAGAGCAAGTAGTTAACACTAGACCTATGGAACCCGTTAGATATTAACTCTTTGCACTCGAAGCTGTTTCTCATTGACATTACCAGCAACTCGAAGTAATTTTAATAGAAAAAGCGTATTAACATATAAATAAACAATACGCGCATGAAAATAAAAGTCATAGATGTATCTTACTGTTTTCTATCGATTATAGATATAAATGTTATAATATATTTAATGAGAAAATTTTACAGTTTGTAATGACAAATTTTAAATGGCTCTGCAACGGAACCCTTGAGTGCAAAGGGTTAAATTTCATAAAAATTATTTCATAACAGTTGGTGCAAATTTTGATTGATGCAATTACACGAATACGTATACTAATTCTTTGTTTCTGAAGCACGAATTTTTATGACCTACATCAATGAACATCTACTTTTCTAGGAACAATAGAATGAAGTGCATAATTAATGTTCATAAATCTAGTGTTACAAGAACACTGTATACTAAGTTTTTTACTGAATTGAAGCGACATTCACGCATCAATCATTCGATGGTTACACGAAGTGAAAGTCTTTTGAGGAAAGTGGTCTAAGACATCTGGCTTTCTTACCTCTATCCTCGTTACAGGAAACATTTGACGTGCGGGATCGGAAATACAGTTGAACCACGATGCAAGTCGTGAAGTCGAACTGCAAGTAAAAGGAGAAGATTTTTTAATGAAATAGGTTTAACAAACGAAATCCGATTTTTAAGGATTTCTTAAAGAATTTGAGACTACGTGTAAATGCGAATTTCGACTTGTAGAGGTTGGTCTCCTTCTGAATTCGAGTTGTAGAGATGAAATACATATTAAAAACAAAGGAAACAATTCGAATTATGTTTCTGCATTTCGAAATGCGGAAGTTTTTACAGTAAAATAAGGTTTCTTTAGAAATTTCTTACAGAAGCATCTATTATTATCTCAATAATTGTAAAAGGAGATCTGGTAGTTTTAATGTTAAAACGTAAATTTCAAAAGGAAATTCAAAAACGAAACCACCGAAAACAAAGAAATCAAAATCACCCGGCGGCGAAACAGTTCAAGAAACACCACTGTCATTCGATTAAGTGATAACAATATTTACGTAACCGATTACGTAATCCATACGAAAAAAGACCTATTATTACGTTCGATTGGTAATACGGATTGCGTAATCCGTACTTTTCAATAAGCTTTTCGACGGATCGGCTCTAGCGAAAGTGACGTAACGCCGAATTGTAAGTTACACAAGCGACTGTCGTCTTTTTCTTTTTGCCGAGTTTCTTCGTCGGGACGTTTAACGGTGACCGACAACGACGTATCGAACGCGAAACTGTATAATGGATAATGGGCCTAGCTTTCGTTCAATCGGGAATACGATTTACGGTACCACTCACAGCGCTGTTCAACATGAATTTTAACTCTCTTAAAATACCTTGCAGTTTTCCTTTGCGTCATTAAGGAATGCCTTGGAAAATAAGCGTGTCCGGAGGGTGTTATTAGAATTAATACGCTTTTTCTGAAACTACGGACAGCTCGGTAAAATATACATATCACTTTTCAGTGGTGCTATTTTTCGTTGGTTCGAACGGAATGGTTTGTCAGTAAATGTAGGGAAAAGGTAAGTATTTACTTGAACAATGATTTTATTAGATAGACTAATGATTTATTTGGAAAATAATCTATTTCTTCATTTAAAATATGTCACATGATTTGATAACTGTTTTCCATCTCTACACGGAGAGGCATGAATTTTGTAGATGAAAATTTTTGTTGAACACAAAATAATGGAAAATTATTTTATGAAAATAAAGCATTATGTGAAGCGTTCGTATTTTGTTGTATATGAGAAAGTGAAATATCGATTCAAGATGCTTGTAGTGAAGACTATTAATATCTTGGTATCAAAATTATTTATACACTAATTACAATATTTTTACGAAAGTTATACCTACAAAATTGCGTTATAATATGTAAACATTGTTTTAACAGTTTTTAAAGAATACGAGACACTCATGCTAGTTTCACATTTTTGATATTTTTTTCAGTTTATTTCGAAAACCAAGAGTTTCAGACAAAATCTAAAGATATTACAGGATAGAACAGACGATGTTTGTATGAAATGCACCAAAGAAAGCTACTAGAGATTTCATTTTCGATTGAGGAAATGAAGCAGTTCCGCGAGACACGAAATACTGCCAGTGATCCTCAACGCCAACGCTTAATCTTTTGTCGACATTATTAAAGTCGTTCGTAAAATTCATATAAAAAAAAATTAATAACATTTTTTTCTATCCTTAGTAAACGATATAACATTCCGAGGAAAATATAAGGTCAATACTTTTTGATTCAATAAAATTTCATTGATATTTTACTATTTATATTTTATATTTTATATTTTACTATATAATATTTTAAATATATTTAAAACATTTTATTAAATAATTATTGTAGTATATATTATAATATATGTTATAATAAATATGTATATAAATACACTAACAATTTACTGATAAAAATACACAAAAATACTATTCGTAGTATAAATATCAAATACACCATGTTAAAAAAGCTGTAGTATTGATTATAATGATAATGCTTGGTGTTAGCTAAAACATATTTTGTAAGAATTCATTTCTTAACAATCAGAAGGATCAGAAGATGTTTATTAGGTATTTATTTACAAAGACCAATTGTCATGTAATAAGATATATTACAAAATTATGTGAAAGCTTGACATATATTCAATGATGTATGCTAAACAAAAAACGGTGTCCCAATTTGATGACTTGGATTTTAATACGTTTTCGTAGGATAATAGTGCTGAAACCGCTGTTACTGCTAATAAAATATCAGGTGTAGCTGCTCGACAACTTGAAAGATATAATTAAAGATTGAGCAACCACATATAATATTTTATAGATAGTAATACTAGACCCTCCACAATTATCCTGCAAAAATGCATTTTACGACTTCAATTCGAGTCGCATAATTAAGGTTCTTACTTGCAAGAGTCTCATCCAAGATGGCGAATAGGTTTATTATTGTAGCGACTGTCATTTCATTAGAAAGTTGAAATGAAATATATCAAAGTGTGCCGTAAAGTTACTTGTCCAAGCTGAGAAAGGGTAAAAACGCTGGAAAAAAACAGTTTAAGACCAAATTAACACTAGAACTACCAAGAACGTAATATGATTCATATGTAATTCCTATAAAAATTGTAACAATAGATTATTTTATTTTCAAAATCATTTCGAATATTCAATAATTACGAAACAAAAAAACTGAATCTAATCAGTAACTGCTACAGTAGCATAACATATTGTTATTTATTGCCGTTACGTTGCTGTACAATAAATATAAATAACAACAAGCAAACGAAAACCTAATATATTTTATACTTAAAAAGAGTAATCAAAACAATAGAAGTTGGAAAGAAAATAACAATTAATTATACTGCAAAATACTAAATTTACCAATGTTTAAGTTTTGCTAACAACTGACCCTCATATATTTTGTATTATTTATTATTATTGTACAATTATCTCAAAATAACAAAAAAGCGATATATTATACAAAATATATAATTTCACAAGAAAATCTGATTTGTGTTAATACTTGATCATTGTAAATCAAATTACAATAGTGTAAAAATAACTGTAAATTATCTGAACATTCACTACGATATATTGAATCAAATTTTGTATTGCCTTGAAAGAATATTAATGATCTTAAAATTTCAGGAACTACGATTTCAAAAAGAATCTTCCTTACAATAATATGTTATTGGTAGAAGTACAATTTGTTCTTGGTAATTTTGTTCTGACGCTGAAAACAACGGGACACGTTATGTTCCACTCATAGGTGACTCACCCTGTATAATAATGGTTTACACAGTGGCGGTACAGGGAAAGTAGTTTTGCTAGTTCTTTTAATGACTTAGAAGGCTGGTTATCCAACGTAAGTTGTAAAATTGTATAAAACCGCCGACAGCAACTGACAGTTCCCAATTGATTCGAGTAAACCAGGAAACATCATTTTTCCTTCAAGCATACTTTTATTGGAATATTAGATTCGATATACATGATAATCCACATAATTACTGTAAACAAAAATGGATCAGAACCCCAGCCACGGGACTGCATGATTTTTAATAAGCAATGAAATTCTTAATAAAATAATAATGCATTCACGTTAGAAAGCAATATTCATGAGATTATCCGTGACTTGTCTAAATGAAATAATCATACTCAAGAAGAAATGATTCGCAAGATTTATCCAATCATGTATTTGATCACTCTTTTTGTTGGAACTTTCAGAACCATTACTACATAGTGAACTTCTATGGATTTATGACATTTGTAAATTTTTAGAATACAAAAATTTTAACATTGTTATTTCACATTTTATAAATAACTTCTCGCAGCAGTGCAATCATAGAGCATTTTATAAATTTTCAAAACTTCAAATGAAGTATAAATTTTATCTGGAAATAACGTCTGATTCAATTTATTCATTCTAAATACTAACTCATATTCATCCTAATCATTAGATACATTATTTATTAACAAATAAATTGTCTGTAACAATTTAGAGTGAGATAATCTATTAATAGATCACTGGGACTTAACACTAAAACCGAGCAGATAAATTGACATTTTGAACTTTGTGTATAGAAACTACAAGAGTGCATCTATTGAAACTTTAAATGATTTACAATTCAGTTTGCTCATTACGAAACTAATTTCTCTAATAATTTCTCAGAAAAACATTTGTTATCTTTTTAATAATTACAAGAAGAAGGAACCAGGAATGGGTCATTTTGACCCGTCTGGTAGTTTTAGTGTTAATGTTAGGTTCCTGTGGACACGCCGGATTTGACCAGCCATCATAGACGAAGGCTCGAAGCGTTCCAGTATCGCGGGAAGCCCAGAAACGCCACGGAACGTCCGAAACGCGTCGATTAATCGTACCTCGGATCTACTTATCTTTAATAGTCAGGAGTTAGCGTGGTGCACAGTCGCGACGAGCACGGTGCGTCACAGTTTCGCGAGTGGAAATTGCGGCTTCGTAATAGTGGGACACGGTCGGTGCACCGTCCTGCCAGTGGAAACTAGGCTCGCAGACACGCGCCTTTTGTTTCGACGAAGTTGCGAAGCCGTTTCTCGACGGTACGCAAAGCGATACATTTCAGGAATCTAGGTGGACGTCGTTGAATTCGGATTTCTTTCGCAGACACTACTGCCAAAATGTGTTATCGACGGTGGTCGTTGAAATGATTGATTGAAAATTTAATCGGTGCGGTTTTCTCAATCATTGATATCTTGTGAGCGTTAAATATTCGAAATGATCTGGAAAATAAATAATTTCACTTTAACCCTTAGAGTGCCTGAAAATTTCTGCAAATAACACCCAGGAGATGAAAATGTTTACTGTACCTTGTAAACGTTTTAGCACATTGACGTAAATAGTAAAAATTTTATATAATCTTCCGGAAGCTAAGCATTTCTCGGTAACTGCATGGCAATTTTCGAAAGAATTTTAGCATTTACAAATAGCACTGAAAGGGTTAACGCTAAAACTACCAGACGAGTTAAACTGATCCATTTCAGAATTTTTATCTTGCAAGTTTTTCAATTATGAAGCTGTTTCTGCGAGAGATTTTAAATT